TGTGTTTGTGTGTCTGTGTGTGTCTGTGTGTGTGTGTGTGTCTGTGTGTGTGTGTGTCTGTCTGTGTCTGTGTGTGTCTGTGTGTGTCTGTGTGTGTCTGTGTGTGTCTGTGTGTCTGCGTGTCTGTGTGTCTGTGTGTCTGTGTGTCTGCGTGTCTGTGTGTCTGTCTCTGTCTCTGTCTCTGTCTGCGTCTGAGTAGGTGCGGGGGATGCATCACAGATGTCTCATGATGTCTCCAACCGACGAAGACGCGGCTTTTGTGTATGCAGTAGTATATGTACCGGCGTGGTGCACCTGCGGAGAGTTACGCCATATTGTACTTGCTTGCAGTGATGTCGGCAACCATGTCGCAAACCGGGCGTGCTGTTGCCTTTTGTTGCTTTGTATCGTATTGAACTCTAGCGTGCCGTACCGTACCGTGCCGGTGCCATGCGGTAATTGCTGCACTGTGCGTAACGTGTCATACTGAATCGTGGTGTGCTACATTGTGTTGTGTTGTACTGCACTGCACTGTATTGTACGTACTGCAGAGTCTTGACTTGTCTTGTCTGCGCTGTTCCGCCATGCTCTGCTCTGCTCTGCCTGGTATGCATGGCATGGCACGGGATGGGACGGGATGGATGCACGCATGTACGTACGTGCCTGTTTGATCAAGCAATCTCCGAACATCTTCGCCGAGCTTCTTGTCCCCAGGCTTGAATGGCAAGGACCTGGTGACGCCACATGCCTATGGAGCAGTATCTACGCTCATGAAGATTCAACGAAACACTGCGACAGCAGCTGGCACTCGAAGTTCGACCCCAAATCTAAATTCGCAGCGTATCACAAATCGAAGCTGACTTAGGCTCGAGCTCCGCACTCCTGACCGGACCTGGATGTCAGCTGACACATTGCTGCATGCTGTCGCTGGTTTGCCTCGTTTCGCCACTGGGTCCTCCTGCGGTGCGTGCTGAAGCACTGAGCCAGCCTCACGCTGGGCCCGCTGGGCCATGGAGCATTGCATCTGCCATTTGCATCTGCCATGCGAGTCCGGGCCTCCACATCCCCTGCCTCCACCCGGCAGAGAACGAAGGAGCTGTTGCCTAGCAACAGAAGCAAGTCGTTCACATGGGAGCATCTACGGCTCGTATTGGCTCGTCATAGTGCCTTGCTTCTCGCAGCCCAGAACGCTCACTCGCTGCGGACCGCCGTCTGCATTCTCTCGACGAACCTCTGAAAATCGTGAGTGCCGTATGGCTGAAGGCTAAGGATGCCGTGTATGTACCCCGTGCAGCAGTCTCGGCATTGAACGGAAACCGGACAAGTCTCGAGAAGCTCCAACAGTGATCCTAGCGGTGGTCACAGGACTTGATCAGGGTGGACATCGCAAAATTCGCAAAGCAAGCGCTGAAAGGCGACTCCTTCAGAGTACCAGCCGTCGCATGCGCCACAGACCAGGCGGTCCTCAAGGGCCGTCAGCACGAGGTGAGAAACCTGCTATCCAGAACCTTGTGCTACCTTGTTCCTCAGAGAAAGTAGGCGGCGGAAGGGGCAAGTGCTTCCCGATTCCGATGCAAGGACACAATGCCGCACTGCAGGAACACCTAAGATGACTACGGTCGAATGTTTTCTGTTCTACTTGCAGCGGGCAAGCGGGCGCAAGGGCATGGCAGAAATGCGAGTGCGAGATACCATGAGGGGAGGGAAAGCGTCCTTCCTAGGTCTGCATGGCCCTCCTCCAGATTCACGTTCGTGCCATGGAGAGCACAGACAGGGACGAAGCGAAGGCTGTCCGAAGTGAAACCAACCTGAACTCTTGCCATTTCTTCACAGAACTCGATTTCGCTTTTCGATCCGAATCCGGCAGATCGGCCTCTCCGAGAGCGGCCTGGCAATTGAAGTGAGGCCCCCCAGGATGTGCAATCGGGCTCTCTGCATCTGCTCGCGCTCGGGCTCTGACCGCGACTTTGGCTTTCACCGCCTCAAACCGTTCGCTGCACCAGGGTGCCTCCAGCATTGGCCAGGCTCCGTGTCGCATTCGAGTCTGTGGAGCCGCCTTGCTTGCATCACCGAGTTTGTTGACGGCAATGACCTGGGGATCGAGTGCAATGCAATGCGGGATTTCCACTCGAATCGCTGAGAGCTCGGCTAGGGAAGACATGCCAAGGCCTGAAAGATCTGCGAAGGATCGAAAGATGCCGGAGGCTAGATTCAAGGCTGAGACACTTCGCAAGAAGGGAATGCTCCAGCAATTGCCTCACATTAAGAGGCGCAAAATTACGACAACTGCTTTGGCGGCCGCTCCTGCGAAGCTGAGCTGGCTGCCCGCCACGCGCGATGCTCGAATCCAACCTGGCCACACCAGAGATCTACAGTATACGAGTATAGATGGGTCGCGGGGGGTGGGGGCGGGGGGCATTCTCAGGCTGCGACTCCGCTGCTTTGGCGGACCTGGGGAATGCTCAAAAGCAGAAGCAACCCCTCAACTCAACCCGTTAACCACTTTACCGAAGCGAGGCTGCTGAGAAGCGAGCACGACAAGGACTGCAGCATCAGATTGACACAAAGCCCTCCAAGCCTGCGCAGCTAGCATCTTCGGGCCTATACGAGCCACCAGCAACTACCTCGAGTGGAGTGCCTGCGCGACGTTGCTTCGACGCCCTGGAACGTCCAGCAAAGTGAAGCGCCGGCCTGACACTCATGAAGCTCCTGATTCTCGCCCTTCGTGCGGGGCCTTTACGACCCAGCCTTGTAATGTGGCACTAGGGTAAGCCAAGTAAGCGGGGCGGGGCAAGGGTGTCTTGTGTGCCAAGCCTGGCGTTGAGCAGCGCTCCGCCAGAAGCTCACCGGGCTGCTGAGGCGCCTCACCGTTCTTCATAAAAAGCCCCACCATCCACTCTTTCGGACAAAGCCCTTCGGATCCCTTCGGGCCTTGAAGAACTTCTCCACACTGCGCTGGTCCCAGGCCCCGCACCTCCAGTGGCACGGCAAAACATCCATCGCTTCGCGACCTGCAGCCACCAACTGCCAAGCCCATGACGCACGCAGGAGCGCCGCGAACAGCGTGGACCTTGTAGCGAAGATGGCAAGGGCAAGCACACGACGCACCTCCCCTTGGTACAAGTAAGATCGCAACTTTCCAGCACCAGTATGTCCCAGAATCGCAATGACGACGTGCTGCCTTCTCAGGCGAAAGCTCAAGAAATGCAGCCCAGCCAAAGCACCCGCCCTCTATTCCGGCAGAAACGGTCAGCAGTATACGCACTATGGCCTTGCATCTCTTTCTGGCAGGCTCGCTGCAGCCTGCCAAAAGAAGGGGCTCCCCCAAAGGCCCACAGGCTTCCCCTCTCCCGGCGGCCTCTCTGGCCGCACGGAGCTTCGAGGCCCAGTCTCCCTTGGCCTCCTGAGAAGAGAACCAGCTGGCGCTCAGCCGCGTAGCCGCTCCGAAGCAGCTACGAGTACTGCGAGCATCCACTTTTCAGATGGCCCCCTGATGAACATTACCACAAGCAAGATCGTTCAAAAATCACGGTAAACAGTCGAAACCATATCCCATGACCCACCCAGGAATGTGAAAAGCAAAATGAGATCTGCATGAGCATAGAAACAACAAGAACGAAACATGCACTACTGAATGTCACTATTGTTGTCCCGTTGTCTTCCAAGAGTGTCCCATTATTCTCCAGTGTTGTTTCAAAAGCTTCGGTGCTTCTTGCAAATTTCTGGATTTCAGATCTACAGTACCTGAGAAGAAATCGACACCGAGCATAGAATCAACTTCCACACTTACACTCTTATATAGCCATTTGTTTTTCATGATGTGTCTCATCATTCTTCAGTTCTGTTGATTTTCCACCATTCGTCCAAGAGTTCCCCTGACTTCCCATGGTTGTTTTGCATGCTGGGATTGAGCTGCAGGTGCAAAAGGACCAAAACCTTCTGGGCCCACAAACTTGACTCTACCAGGCGGGTGAACCCACTGCGATGCATTTGCAAATTTCTGGATTTCAGATCTACTGGACCTGGAGAGACCAGACACCGAACCCAACAAACAACAAAATAGAACGGGAAAATACCGAGATCCGAATGAGCACAGACTCAACAAAAATTAAGATTTACACTATGTTTTCATGGTTTCCCGAACGTGTCCATTAGTTTCCTGTTTTTCTTTCACATGCTTCGGCATCTTTTTGCATATTGCTAGATTTCAGGTCTACAGGACCTGAAAAGAAATCAGACACCGAACCCAATGGAAAACAAAAACAGTATACAACATGAACAAGTTTGTTGAATGAAAGCTGTTTTTTGAAACAGATTGCTTTCCGCGTAGCGCCTTTGATTGCCTCAGTGCCAGGGTTCAATCTGCCATCTCAAAGTAATCCCATCATTTCTTGATTTTTCCCTCCCGCGTTGATACGACAACACTTCCGCTTGCCACAGAGCCTTTGGTTCCTCCCCGGACATTTTCCGACAATCCTGCAGTTCCGTGTACGTTCACTCCTGTGGCTGATTTCCGCAGGCAGGGCCCACAGGCTAGGGACCCCGAAGGCGGCCCCGAATATCGGACCCCAAATAGAAACTCCAAATAAAAACTGGTCGATCGAAAAGAACTCAGTTGACATCTTGTCTGCGGAGCTTGAGACCGGACTTCGCTTCCGCAGACGACAAAGCGTAAGAGGGATGCAGACATCACACGAACAGCCTGCAACACAGCATGCAAGAGCTCTGGACTGCAAGAGCTCCTGAGTTTGGCCGGGTTCGCGGCTTGACATCGTGGAAGCCTGGCGGAGACGGCCGGTGTGAGCCCTTCTTTCAGCACTGGCCTGCTGCTGCCTCTTGCGACACACTGGGAACTTTCCTGAGTCCGTGCTGTGGAGATGCGATAGTAAGAAAGAAACTTCACGACTACGATCATTGCCACCACGTGACTGGGCAGGCTGCTTTGGCTGTCTCTGGTTTTCCCTCTCTTGGCTCTCGCGGATCCGGTTCGCCTGTTGTTGACGACGAGCATTGGAAGATCGCTTGCAGGCATGGCAAGGCCTGCTGCGCTTCGCTCAAACTGGGCTGTGGCTGTGGCGGCGGCTGTGGCGGCTGCGGCACCTCTGGCGGCTGCGGCACCTGTGGCTCCGGTCTGTGTTGTGCGCCCCTCGCTGGGGCGTCAGGCTCGTCCGGCAGGCCCGCCGCTTCCTTGAGTGGAGGGCTTTGTTCCCGAAGCTTTGGCTCTTGAAAGGAAGTGTCCTTCGGTTGACTTTGGTGGCCGTAGGCCGGGTGTGCCCCCATCGCACCAGACACGCCCTGCTTCTGCTGATGCATCGGCTGCTTTTGCTGGCGGTATGCCCGCGGGTTCGGCTGGCCCTGCTGCTTGAGCTGCTGTTGCTTTGGCTGGTGAGGCTGCTTCTGCTTCTCAAACTGGCGCACGTGCTCGAGTTGCCTCGGAAAAACTCAAGAGCACTTGCACTGGAATGCCCGCTGTATACGACTTCTACGGCTGCGCAATGTGCAGCCAAGGCGCGGTGCCATGGGTCGCTGAAGAACAACCTTGCATCTGACAACTTTTGGCTCAGCAGCCAAGTTTCACACACAAACGTTTTTTCACTGCATGCCTACAGTAGTTCAAAAACTCAAGGGGCCCCTCTTGGACCGTAACGGCAAGGGCGGAGGTCAGGCATTATCACGCCCGAGAGCGGCTGTTCTCATATCCCTTAAAGCTCTGCTGACTGAAGCCGGCTCAACGTGGTCTGACGTTGCCTTCGCGATGTCTTCGCTCTCGGACTTCGAGCTGCCAGGCTTCGGCTTCCAATCTGAGAAGACCGGTAATCAGTAGTTTCATCAGAGCCTCTTTTATGCCGTTATTTTGCCGTTCAGTTGGTGAGGGAATCCACCACCATGGCTTGGTGTTCCACCCACCATAGCCACACACCAGGCTGTCCACCTTCTCACTTGCGATCGCCTGCTCTGCCCTGGATCGAACATCTTGCTTAAAAGCCTTTGGCCCCATTAAGTCTCCGAGTCGACATAGGAGAGCTTGAGCCTCGGCCGCCAGGGTGCTGCTCAGTTGTCGCCGCAGCTTCGCAGACTTCCACCAGATCATCGAGCGCAGTGCGCTCTCGCCTTTGATCAAGTCGCGGTGAAAGGCTATCACAGTCGGTAACAGTTCCCGAGCTTTGGTCTGCTGGAGGAATAGGGTGGAACTTCAATTCCAAGTCCCGGGTCGCCTTTGCGCCGGCGATGCTGCAGTTGATGTCTTGCATATCTTTCGCCTTGAGCGTGGTGATTTTGCTGGCCAACATAGACGCGGCTCCGGCCAAGTCGGGTCGGCGCACTCGAACGCCTCTCCTTGGGAATGGCCATTGGATGCAGCCGTTCCTCAATGAACTTGCCCATGTCCACACGGATGTTTCCGTCTTGTCCTTGCTGAATCCTTCTTCCATTGAACATGGTGCCATCGGCCAACTCCTGAAACTTCTTGTGCATGCAGAACTTGAAGCGCCCCGGAAACCGGGTCATCCTCAACTCATGCAAGCCGGTGGGGTCGATCCTGGACTGCTTGTACCCAAACTCCTTGGTGACATAGCTCTTGAAGGTTTTCCTCCATTGCAACTTAAGGTCCATCCATCCACCAGCCCATAAACTCCAACAATCACCTCCATGACGACTTCCGGCTCCATGCCTGGAAGCCCACCGCGTGATTGCCTCACATATAGCTTCCCGGCAGCACGCTGCAACCTGTCACTTTGGGTAAATGTTGCCTCAAGTCGCCGCAGGTCCCAGGCATCTTTCAAGAGGCTGCCAGCTGAAGGATCGCCTGCAAGTTCTGGGTCGTGACGGTAGGTGAGTACGCACTCAGGTCCGGAGCATCCGGGCCTTGATCGCCTCGAACACACCATCGGCTTTTGAAAGTGCTGGGCTCGCCAATCTGCTCGCTTGGCTTCTTCCTGCACACAAACCTGCTGTCTATCACCCGGTCCAAGTGACCGGCGCGCCCCAGCTCCTCGAAGAACTTTGTTCGACTCGGCCGACTCGGCGGGAGTCAAAACCTTGACCGCCCCCGAAGCTGCGATCTTGGCCAACTCCGACTCCTCGGCTTCCGCTTGCCTCCAATCAGGCCACTCTTCTTCTGGGATGTCGCGCTCTGCCACCTCATCGATTGACACCTTCTTGGCCGCAAAGGCCTCCTTGGACATCACGTCGAAGGCGTAGGCGTAAACGGACTTGCCCGATCCAGACGGATGCCCCGCAATCAGGATCTCTGTCCTGGTTCAGAGCCAAAGGGCTCCGCTGCCAACTGACAACGGTCTGGCTCTGCAGCTAAGCTTCACACACAAACCTCTTTTCACGGCACGCCTACAGTGGCTTAAGAACTCGGGGGGCCCCTATTGGGCCGTAACGGCAACGGCGGAGGTCAGGTATTACCACGCACTGGAGCGGCTGTTCTCACATCGGAGCTCGGTGCAGAGAGGAGCGGACTGGGCCCATTTGAGGCGAGCAGCGGGTGTGTCACTGCTGCTGGCATTGCTGTCCAAGACCAGCTCTGCCGATCGAAGCCAGGCGGCTTCCTGCGATGCGGGCATCGGCCTGGCAACTGTGCAGTCGCGAGACCCACGCCCTGGCGATGCCTGGCCTTTGCACCCTTCCAAGAAGCTCCTGGCTGCGCCTGCAAAGATCTGCCAAGGCCAGATGCGATCGGAGAGGTGTCTTCCAGCCTCGGTGCTCTTCGCCCGATGCCTGGGTGCAGAAAGCGCACACATGTATCCTAGAACCGACCACAGCTGAGCTGCCGAGCTTCGGCTCTTCTCTGGCTCCAACGACCTCGGAAACGGCGCCGAAGGCGCTCCGAAGACATCCCTGTATGCGACAGGCCCGCTGCGGCCGAGTCTTCTCTCCCTCCCTCGGCTGAACCGGCTCCGGCAAGCGGCCTGCTTTGGACGCTTTGGCCTACACAAGACCTATGCTTGAGGGTGACGTGTCTTGCCGGTCGCCTGGCGAGGCTCTCGCCGTCGAAACGGCTGGTACCCGCGCCTGGCCGTTCGAAGCAAACGCCTTCTCTGCCATGACTGGCCAGGCAGGCATGCCTTGTGTAGCTTCTCCACGAACCATCGCTCAAAGGTGCGCTGATGAACCTTCGTGAAGGTTCTGCTCACATTGCCGATCATCCAGCTTTGAGCCCATTGGCCTCGTCTGTCACGCCCACCTCGGCAAAGAAGCCGCTGTCGAAATGAGGCCTGAGCAGCAGCCACTACATGTGCTATATAACTGTATATAGCATGCACAACTACAGGGCAACCACTGTGCAAGAAAGGGGTTGGTTCAGAAATGCAGGTGTTTTACGTCACTGAAAATCAATACATACAGAGCTGTTTGGGTTCATGACTTATGTGCTGGATGCATCCTGGTCCGAGCATCTGCAATCCGCAAGAATCTGACATGCACATGACGATGCAGCGTTTCTCATTTCGAGTGCTTTCAACTTTCAAGAAATCGATGAATTTCCCTAGGACCCCCAAAATTAGACATGTAGAGTGCTGCTGTTATGGTTCTTGTTGTGGTGGTCCCCGGGCCTCCAAGAACACCCAAGACAAACGAATGGAGGCGTGTTTTCCTAAACCACCCAAATAAGAAATGTAACCGAGCTACCTTTCTCAGGTCGGGGGTGAACATGCCTTGGGAAGAGGGCCTGGGCTGTGGTCTAATCGCGCATGCTCTTCCTGCCACAGTTCCGGACGTTGCCACTGCCCCACCCGCCACAGTGCCACGAGTTGTGTGGCTAAGTGCTGCCTAGCAACTTTGACTCTACCTAGCCTTCTGCAGGCTCGCATGCGGATTGAGAAAGGAAGGGTGCCCCACGATTCGGGTGCTGGGACATCTGGAAATGAAACTAAATGCAAGCTGAGAAGCGAAGGGGAGCCTATGCTGGGAAGTGTCAGACAAATATATATATATATACACACACACACATACATATATATATATATACATAAAAGAAAGC